GTGGAGAAGCACCAGGCTGCCTGGTTGGAGAGGGTGCCAAGCGGAGTATCTCAGACTAGGTAAGTGATTCACCCAGCTGCAGGCCAGTGGCCTGGCTGGAAGAAGGGGTAGGGGCTGAGTGGCTGTGAGGCACAGAGGTGGGCTCAGGGCAGAGGAACTATGGACCCAGGGCCCTCCAACAGGGGACAGAGCCACATTAGAAGACCTTGCCAGGTTTTGTCCAAAGGCAGGGCCCCGTAAGCATGTACAGAACCTCTGGGGTCACTGGATAGACGGTGGGGATGGAGAAGAACCGACCTTGTCTGAGGACAGCTGCATGTGGAACAGGGGAGGGCGTGGCCAGCCAGCAGGCAGGCAGGATGATTTCTACCCAAGTGGGTGTAGTGGGTAGAAAGAGACAGAGGTCTTGAAGGGAGATGGAACCTTTGCTGCAGAGTGGGTGAGGAGGAAGAGGTGTGGCTCTAGGGACCAATGGGGGAGCAGGAGCCAGGCCCACCAGCAGGGTGCAGCTCCCAGGTCCCCCATGGGGATCTGAGATGGGGTCACCAGCTCAGAGGCCGATGGGCTGTGTATGTATGTGGGGGGGACTGATGGGTTGGGGTGGCGAGCTGAGGGGTTATGTGGGTGCTGATGGGTTGTGGGGGCTATGTGTACAGGGGGCCTGTATTTGTGAGGAGGCAGACTGACAGGCTGGGGGGAAGCAAATGGGATGTTTGTATGTGTGAGTGTGTGGGGGACTTGTGTGACGGATGAGCACCCCAGAGAAAGCAGTGCTCTCATCTCCCCCCAAGGCAGACAGCTGAGACTGGCTTCATTTCTTATAAATTTATTACATAATAATATTATAATAATTATTATCAATAATAATAATAATATAAGAAACATAGATCTCTGTGGGGTGTATCACAACGGCAGGGTCAGGAAGGCCTGGGGCTGGAGCAGGGGTGAAACCCCCATGGAGCTCCATACAAAAGGAGAAGCCCCCTGACCCTGTAAGTTAAAAACCCAAATGGACGGAACCGAAAACCCACAGGTGAGTGAGACTGAGTGTGTACGTGGCAGTCTGTTACAGCGACTGCTGCTGTGTGTGACCTGGCCGTTGGCGACTGGCTAACTGGGTGTGGCTGTGTGCTGGGGGTGGGGCTGGGGACGGAGGGAGGCGCACTCCGGGGCCAGCACAGACCGGCGTGCCGGGGCCCCTGGGCTGTGAAAACTTGTGTTTTCTTTTTTTTAATTTTTTTTATTAAAAAAAGCTAGAAATACAAACAGAAACTTGTGAGTGACGTGGATGGAGCTGAGTCCAGACTCCAACCCCTAGGTTTAAAAACGTCCCAGGGCCCCCCACCCCACAGGCCACTGCTGAATGTGAGGAGTCACAGTACGGGGGGCTGGGCACCCTCGGGGGTCCCCCTGTGGTCCCCTAGAAGCCTGAGGGGGGCTGCCTCCAAGGGGCCCACAGGGACCACCCCAAAGCAGCAGGGCTCAGTAGGAGCCCGCTCAGACTGGAGCAGGTCCCTGGAGAAGAGGCCGGGCAAACGCAGATCGCAGGATCTGGACAGCCTCTCGACTTTCTTTGGAAGAGGCTCGCCCCCCCTGCACACACTCCCGCACGAACACCCACACACCACTCCCACACAAGTACTCCGCGCCGGAACCCACTCCTGCACGCACTCATGTATACACTCCGGTGCGTGTGCGCGCGCGTGCGCGCACGAATGCATGCTCACATCTCAGCTCACGCACCCCTGTGAACCCAAGCACGCACCCCCGCACGTGTCTACAGTCACCACGCCATGTCCCAGGCTACCCCCCAGTGCCACTCCCTTATCCGACACACACAAGAGTCCCACACGCCCAGACGCACCCAGGCTGGTACATGCGCATGGCAGGGACAGGAAACTGGCTTCTCTGCTGTAGTTGCCCGAGAGCATGGGGGCGAGGTTGGACCCCTGCGCAGGGAGAAACCCTGTGAGGAAGATGGCTGGGGGCGGAGGGCAGGACCCTGCGGCCCTCCCCCAGGGCTATGGTCTGGCAGCAGCCCTACGACCCCCTGCCCCGCAGGACCCGGCTGCCTGCCACCCCTCCCCCGCGCAGCACCTTGAGGGGGGGGGCACTACAGCTCAGCGGGGAGAGAGGGCTGAGTCTGGACCCCACGTCGGGCCACTAGGCCCCTGGCCAGCCCCAGACCAGCTGGAGCGCCCCCCGCCCCCGTGTGGGGTCGCAGTGGCAGTGAGGGGCCCCGGCCCGCGGCGGGACCCAGCCAGAGATGGAAGACTTGGCCGCAGCAAGGGGTGAGGGGCTGGAGAGAGGCAGAGGCGAGGGCAGGGGCGGCGGGGAGGGGGCGCGACGCGGACAGAGATATTTGTTCCTTTTCTCGTTCCAAATATAGAGTGGATTAAAATACGCAAGACAGGGGCTCCTTGGCCCCCAACCGAGAATCCCGGTCTCCCCCCCTCCCCCCAGTCACCAAGGCGTGTCCTGCCCTCACATGCTGGACTAGGCTCCCCACTCTGGGGGCGTGGCCTCCAGGAACTGCGCGGGAGGGGTCCATCCGCGGCCCACCAGCCTCCCTGGAGCCCCCCCCCCTTCCTGGCCGTGTGCGGGGTGGGGCTCGGCGGCACTAAGCAATGTACAGGACAAGTCTGAGCATCGGCAAACAGGACAATTCATGCAGCATTCCTGGCCCGGCGCCGTCGCAGGGGGCGGGCCGAGCCCGCGGCCCGGGATGGGGGGCCCTGCCGGCAGGGCGCGCAGTGTGTGGGCGTCAGCTGCCGTCCAGCTGCTTGAGCGCGCGCTCTATGTTCATGCGGTGGCCCACGCGCGTGACGCCCAGTTCCACGAAGTCGTCCTTGGTCAGCGCCGGCAGGTGCGCGCCCTCGATCTCGTGGTCCTCGAAACGGTCGCGGTGCTCCCCCAGGTGGATGCTCTCCAGCCAGTCACCGACGTCGAACTTACTCCAGAGCTGCACCGGCTTCTGCTGGAAGGGCCGCCGCGGACCGGGCGCGCTGGGTCCTGCTGCAGGCGAGGGCAGCGGCGAGGGTGAGGGCGAGCGGCTGCGCGCGCTCACGCTGCGCACCACGAAGCGCACCTCTTTTGGCTCGTGGGGGATGGAGAGGCTGGACGACTTGAGGATGGTGGGGGGCGTGAGGCCGAAGGGCCGCCCAGCGCCCCCTGCGCCCGCCCCCAGCCCCTCCACCCGCTCCAGAGACGCGGGCTTCACCGGGCTCGGGCTTCGCCGCGCCACCGGGTAGCGGCTGCCGGGCCGCACAGTGTAGGAGGCCCCGCCGCCCGGGCCCCCTGGGCCACGCTGCGCTGAAATGGAGCTCAGCTCACCGAGGCTGCTGAAGAGCCTGCGGAGGGAGAGGTGGTCAGGACGGGTGAAGGCGCCAGCAAGGCAGTGGGTGGGTGTGGGTGTGGGTGGGGAAGGGGCCCTGGGAAGCGAGCACTGGGGCAGGTGGGGGTCAAGGCATAAGGCGGCGGGATCCAGTGGGTCCCCTGCCCTTTGGTGTGGGCCCTAGGTCGACGACAGCACCCTGCTCTCCAGGACCACAGGACTAAAGGAGCAAGGGTAGCCAGCCCTCTCCTCTCCACCTGGTTCAAGAGAGCCCTCCAGAGGAGAAGGCTAGTTCCACCCACCCCCACCCCCCACCCACCCCCGCCAGCAGCCCTCGGACCAATACTGCTCCGTCCATCTTCACCCAGCCATGTGGCTTCTAGGGCTGTACCCGCCCTGCTTCCCAGTCGG